TCAGCCGAACATCTGATCTTATTCAGGCCTTCATTTTTTGCCTCTCTGAAAAGTAAGTTTTCAGGTGTTTTTTTATAATTTGATTTGGAACTTAATTTTCAGCTTTTTAGAATTAAGTATTTTTAAAACTTAAAACGTTTGAGTATTTTGAAACTTAAAATTTAGTTTTCAGAAAAGTAGGTTTTCAGGTTTTTTTTTAGAATTTGATTTAAAATTTTTCTACCCATTTTTTTGTGCTAAACATAAAATGTTAAAAAAAGTTATTCACAAAATAGGATTTCAAAACAGCATTATTGGAAAATCTCGAAGATAGCAAATTTGGATGAAAAAGATGCATTTTTTCGGCCGTTCAAGTGAATTTTTCATTTTTCGTAAATTCATGTTCCTCTTTCTCGCTTTCCCCTCGCACCCTTTCCTCCTCTCCCCTCCCCCTGTCCTCCTCCGGTCCGTCGGTGCTATGAAAGCCGAATTTTATAATATTTATTTTTGCTAAATAATGATGAATAGTCTATGAAACGAATTTTTAGGGCTATTTTTTTGTTCAGATCGTTCAGATCAGTTGCGATGAAAGTCTTTTCCCCTGCCCTCCCCCCTCTCCTCGGCCTTCCGGTGCTATGAAAGTCGTATTTTATAATATTTATTTGTATTAAATAATGATGGATAGCCTACGAAACGAATTTTCAGGGCTATTTTGTTCAAACCACTCAAATCAGTTGCGATGAATGCCTTTTTCCCTTGTTCTCCTCCCTCCCCCTCTGTCCCTCTCCCTCTCCTTCGTTCTCCGGTGCTATAAAAGCCGAATTTTATAATATTTGTTGATATTAAATAATGGTGGATAGCCCATGAAACGAATTTTTAGGGCTGTTTTTGTTCAGATCATTCAAGCCAGCTGCCTTGAAAATCTCATCTTCATCGTTTTTTTGATCGTAAAATTTCCAGGATGGACAAGCCTCTGTGGGCCAACGAAGATGTAACACCGCGCCAGTGGCGTATCGAAAGTGCCGAACAGTTGGGCTGTGTTGTTCGTCATTTGGCCGAGCTACTGATCGGAGCAATCCCTGCCTTAGCATTACGCTGGACACAGCTAGCAATGGCAATGGCATTGTCCACGTCAAACAGGCACATCGCTGGCCGATCTTTCCAGATTACCTCGGCTCTTTGTCAGGTCAGCGTGTGCTAACTAGCTTTTTTAATAAGTCTAAATGAATACATTCATAGGCGGGTCCAGCACAGGCTCATAGAAGGGGAATGGGGCGGCGAATGGGGGAAAGGAGAAGGGGTTAGGGCTTCTGGTACGGCGACAGCCGGGGGATGAGGGAAAATGGGGCCTCTAGGGGTGGGGGAGGGTTGGACAGCGGGGGTGTGGAACAGAGTGTCTTTGGTTTTAGTTCTAGGCCCGGACTTTTGTAGCACTGATGCCTGTGCCACTGAAGGGGCGAAAAACTTACCACCTCCCTCCCACCGTCCGCTTCCCCTCCGCCTCTCCCGTTCTGGATCGGCCTGTGATCAAAATGCAGCCTGGCCTGAATTATTATGATTAACACTTTTGATGATTGTTGCAACAGTCCTGATACGCGAGTAAAAACCTATCCATTCTCAGTGAGGAACGGTGGCACTCGGGAAATAGTTCAAGTAGTACTAAGTGCCAGGGCAGTCACTCGTTGCGGTGAGTTTCGATAGTCCCTTTCGAGGGTTGCTTATAAGCAAACTGATGGCGGATTTGACCCTCTGACATATGCCAGTACCAATTTACCACTGCAGAAAAATGGTGAAATCCTAGAGAGATTGGTTTTCCCACTGTTGCAGTCTAATCTTCGATCTACCAAAAAATCAAAAAAAAAAAACCCTTTTATACTGCAGCTTTTTTTGGAAATTTTTTTTAATACGAAAAATTAACTGCACAGGCGAGCGAGTGTATGAAAATGTTAAAATTTTTAAAAAGTTGAGTTTTTACAAAAAATAAAAATTAAGCCCTTTTTTCCGAAGCATCGCTGAATTTTCAGTCACCATCACCATGGATTCCGAATGTTCTTTCACGGCTGGCCGAAACAGTTGGTGAGCCACATGAAGAGACCCAGGCATATGTAACCGATATAATGCTTTGTCTGCAAACAACCGTGTCACATTTGGCACCGGTTTCTCGCCCCGCACACGCGCAATCACCAACACATGCTCGTTCAACATCCTATACACCAGCGCTGCTGCGCCAAACTGCAATCGCGGCAGCTTCCGCTGCTATTTCACCAACTCATGAACGTAAAATTTCCATTGTTTTGGCTTTTTTTTTTGTATCTATGCAATGCAGAAAACGCATATTGACGAGAGGTTGTCTCTGTGTATGTATGTGTGTGTGTGTGTGTGTATGCATCTGTACCGATTTTTCATCTCGAGACCTACAAAAGTTACAAGGCTGAAATTTTGGGAACATAATCTACATGCATGTACGGGCTTCTATCCCCAAAATGGACACTCTTGCCCATGTGGTTCCCGTATATGGGCTTGTGAAAGTTTTTTACGGATAAGTTGCTAACTCGGGAACCAGAAAAGCTAGAAAACTGAAATTTCAAGGGGATATTTTCTTACAGTGGTGGTGGTGGCAGTCTCAGTTTTTTTAGCTAGAAGCATCTGCCGGGAAAATCAATGCCTCTTGTGGTAAAAACCTGCGAGGAAGAGTGCAAAAAACGCATCTCCGCGCCGGTAGTTGATGCGCTGGCCAATTATTT